GCTAACTGCACTGCACACAGCCTAATCGTGTATGTGACACAGGCTAACTGCACTGCACACAGCCTAATCGTGTATGTGACACAGCCTAACTGCACTGGACACAGCCTAACCGTGTATGTGACACAGCCTAGCTGCACTGGACACAGCCTAACTGTGTATGTGACTCAGTCTAACTGCACTGCTGTTACATCCTCCGTTACACACTCCACGTTACATGCAAAACCCATTCATGTATCAGGTTAAAATACCGCAGGGTAGATAACAAATTTTCATTCCCACTCAGTCTTCCATAACAGTAAAGTAATATGTCCTCCCAACCAATGGGGTCAATGTAGTGAATAAAGAGGGGGAAGTCCCCCCCCCATCCTTCTCGAACACAGTAATCTGTTTTGGTTTCACACTCATACTGGAGCCGCGTGAGAAAGTTACCGCTAATGTTACTACAGGGTAGATTAAGGGGTATATTTACCATTTTGCCCCCATTGCCTCAAAACACCATTATGGTAAAGCAGCGATATTTAAGCGGCTTTCAGTGTGTGTGTGTGTGTGTGTGTGTGTGTGTGTGTGTGTGTGAGATTGGGATATAAGAGAGTGAGGAGAGAGATCCCATCCCCATCCCACCTAACTAAATGCCTGCTCTGCTTACCTACTTTGTCTGTTTTTCTTTTCTTTGGAATATACCTAAATAAGCTCATTCTATTAGAGCTTTATACAACTGTCTGCTATTTTACAATGTAATATAGCCTGTTAGTGCTGTTAACTTGCTGAATCCCATAATGCGTAATGGTGTGACGTTCCCTTACAGAAAGCATAGCGTCACGTTTATGTCCCTGCACGCATTAGTTCTGCGTCCCTTCTTGACTATGGCCAATGAGAGTCAGTGAGGCATGTCAGGACGTACTCTAAGACACTGTTTCCCAGCCTTTTTTCTGCCACGGCCTGCTTTTCATGTAGTGATTATCCCTGGGCTCACCATCGTCTAACACATACTACTAATTGGCTCTTACCAATAACACATATCACGTTACACTTTACCTGCTGCTTGAGGATCAAGTCAATTTTCTGAAAATTCCTTTATCAAAAACTTGTCCACAGTCTTGTCTTTTTTACTACAGGGCAGATTGCAAATTGTCGAGCATAGGCCTATGTATATGAACTGGTGTTAAGCCTATGTATATGAACTGGTGTTAGGCCTATGTGTATGAACTGGTGTTAAGCCTATGTATATGAACTGGTGTTAGGCCTATGTGTATGAACTGGTGTTAGGCCTATGTATATGAACTGGTGTTAGGCCTATGTATATGAACTGGTGTTAAGCCTATGTATATGAACTGGTGTTAAGCCTATGTAAATGAACTGGTGTTAAGCCTATGTATATGAACTGGTGTTAAGCCTATGTAAATGAA